CGGTTTGAGTGACAGCTCCGGGCTGCACGCCTCCTGCCCGGCTGCAGCTCTAAAGCCCTTTGCCTGCGTTGTTAGGGACGCGAGCACGTGGAGTCATTCTCAGCAAGTAGCTGTCAGTCCGCCTGCGGGCCTCGCTCAGAGCCGCCCAGGGACCAGGTGACCGAGGTTGGACTGGCGGCTGAGGGAGTCCATTCCGCCATTCCACGTTCTGGAAAGTGTGCTGCCCTCCACGGCGCCACGTAACCCCGAGAAAGCGTGTAGGTTATGGGGGAACACGGTTCATGTGCTACTGGTGTAAACTCTGGAACGGTGTCAAAATAAAATGGACATTGCTTCTCCCGGGTTAAAGAAATGACTAGCAGAATAACTTAGGATTATTAATTATTGTAGGATAGCCTCAGTTTCCAGTTTGTCGTCCACAGGTTGTGTTTTTCGTGGTTGATGCCTGCAGCTGCTGGGCAGTGCTGGGAAGATGATGCCCGCGTCAGCACAGAGTGACCCGTGTCGTTCGCTCGTCCCTTTGTTCGTTATTTATGTGGGGCTACTATTTGCTAGGCTAGAGATAAGATGGCGAGGGAAAATCAGACGGGCCCTGCCGTTGTGAGCGTGCACGCAGTCAAGTGCAGAAGGCAGGTATCAGTCAATAAATCGCCCGGGAACGGCTCTGGGAGATCCAGGAAGGCACCCGGAGGAGGTGGCTTTCAGCGAGGGGTAGGATGGGGCAGGCAGGGGCCGGAGCCCTGTGTAGAAGAAAGCATGTTTATTTAAAAGGCGTCCATGTCCGCACTCGTGGTTTTGCTCAGAGCATCGTGACGCTCAGGTGCAGGGTTGGAACAGTTTCGGGTGGGAACCCGGGCTGACGGGGTGGGTGCAGGTGGAATCGCTGGCCGGCGTGGCGGTGAGCGAAAGCGTGTATTTCCTGTGAGGCCGTGTCGGATTGGTGTTGGAATCTGGTCCCTGTCTTGGATTCTCTCTCCCTTTCATGTGTTCTCATAACTTCCTGTGATAGGATCGCCCCACAGGGAGTGGCACGGGTAGGTGTTAGGGAGCTTTGTTTCATGCAGGCAGGAGGGAAGGTGTTGCCCCAGCTTGACAGAGACAGTGTTGACATATGTGTAAGCCTGAGGTGTACAGGGCGATGGCTTGGTACATGCGTGTATTGTGCAGTAACCACTTGAGGTGAGTGAGCACCGCCATGCCTTCACACCGTTACCTCTTCGGTGGGGATAACATTTACAGTCTACTCTCTTAACTTTCAAGTACACGACACAGTGCTGTTAACTGCAGTCGCCACGCTGTAGCTTACGTCCCCAGAACTTCCTCATCTTACAGCCGCGTGTTTGTACCCCGACCAACATCTCCCACGTCCTCCCCGCCCCGCCCCCAGCAGCCTCCGTTCTGTTTCTGTGAGTTCAGCTGTTTGGGTTCCACATGAGTGAGAGCACACATACTTGTCTTTCTGTGTCTGAGGTCACTGAAGACCCTCCCGTCATACATGTTGCAAAAGGCAGGGTTTCCTTATTAAGACTGGATAATTCTCCATCATGTGTATGTGTATGTATGTGTATGTGTAGCTGTATGTAGATAGACGTCGGTATAGCACACTTCCTGTACTCCTTCTCTGGTTGCACCCCCTTCTTGCCGTGGGGTTGGATTGGTGAAGACCAGGTGCTCAGGACTGGATCGGCGTGCGATCAGCCAGGACGCTGAGGGAGAGGGGTTTGCTGGGTGGACAGTCCCCAGGCCTCCCTGGCGACAGAGAGGAGGCAGTGTCGTTACTGATCCCACCTCCACATGGCTGCTCTGTCCACCTTGGTCAGCGCAGCTCCAACCGCCCAGCACTCCAGCCGCCGCTGCGATGGTTCCTAGGGAGACTGACCTTGTTGACACGTGCATGTGCCCGTTTCAGCCTTGGAGGCGTTCGTCGCTGCCGCCAAGCAGCTGCCGCGGGAGGGCGTGTACGACGTGGTGGAAGGCTACGTCAAGATCTCCGTGGAGTGCGCCGAGGTGTTCCAGCTGCTGAGCGGGGAGCGGCCGCCCGAGAGCGAGGTAGGTCTCTCCGGATGGCCTGTGTCCACTCGAGGAAGATTTCCAAGGCGTGACCCGCCTTCTGCAGAGAGGGGGGCCTGGCCCCATGCTGGGGGGACGCGTGCATTTTGGCGTCATGACCTTAGGAAGCATTTTAGGGGAAACATGAACTTCTTCTCGGTGAATAACAGCAGAAGGGAGGGTCACAGATTCTTCATCCAGACGTGCTGGGTTCCAGGGGTTTGTTTCAGCAAAGGGGACATCGGTAGAAATTGCTTTGTGGTTCCCGGGAGGCTCAGAGCCAGGTGTTGAGGAGCCCGCTGCGTCTCGGGGGAGAGGGGGATGGCGTAGACCCGACCTGCCCAGCAGTGAGGCCCAGGCGTGGCTAGAAATTTCTCTCTTCACGTCACCGTCACCTGGTGTGGCTGTAAGCAAGCAATTCTCTATGTAGCTCGATCGTGGGAATAAGACGGACTCCGCAGGCCCAGGCCCGGGGGTGCCCCTAAGCTGCCGCCTTCCGCCTCAGCTCAGGGCCTGGGAGGCCTCGTCCTGGAGTGCCTGGCTGAGACAGGGCAGGCCTGGGGGGAGAAATGAGAAGGTCCGTAGCCTGTCACCCCCTACTTGCAGGTACTGTTGGTATTTCAAGCTCTCGAGGCCATCTTGCTGCGGACAGCGAGCGACCTTTCGCATTTGCACGTTGTGGGGACCAACATCGTGAAGAAGCTGCTGAATAACCACATGAAGCTCATCTGCGAGGCCCTGTACGCCTCGGGGTACAGGTGAGGGGCCTCCGCGTGGCAGGACCAGCTCAGGCGGCCACTGTCCAGCTCCCCACAAGCGCACGTGGCCCTTTCCCCTCTCATGACGTGGAGCCTGCGGCCGCGGCTCTGCCCCTCCTGCTGGTGGCCCCTCGCTCTCTCGACTACTCCGACGGGCTGCTCTCCTTGCGGCCCCGGAGACACTGTGACACCCTCACGTGGCCTGGTCACGGGCTCCCTTCCTGTAACTCAGGGCTTTGCAGAGGTTCTCAGGGGCCTTTGTGCTGTCCTCATCCCTGTCGCCGTCTCCCTCCGCCGTAGAGGAAATGCCCACTTATGCGTGCGTTTGCACAGCTGTGCACTCCACGCCCTGCTCCCATCACTCTGTGACTCTCCCGCCACGAGAGCACCAAGTGCAGGCGGGCGGGGCCTCGGCTGCCTCACCTGGTGCATCCTCCCAGCACCCGCATGGCCTGGTGCATGGTGGGTGGGTGCTCAGTAAACGGGTCCGGGTGCCTGTGGAGGAGCGATGGCACTGCGGGGGGGTCCCCTGTGCCTGGTGGGCCCTCTGCCCACGGAGGCAGGTGGGTAGGCTTGCCCGCCGTGACACCTTACTGCACAGAGAGGGGCCGTCTTTCTGGCTCCCATTGTGTATTCCTCAGACTCAGTTATGATTTTTTTTTTTTAAGAAAGAAAGCGCGTCCACATATCTGCTTTTCCCCTCTGATTTGGGGGACAGCAAGCCACAGCAGGTGTGGGTGCCCCATGCGTCTCATCTCCCCGTTGTTCTCATGCAGGGTGGCCCGAGCCTGCCTCAGCCTGATGACCGCCATGGTGACCCAGGGCCCCGATGCCGCCAGGGACGTCTGCAGCCTTTTCGATCTGAATAAAAAGACCTTGTACGCCCTGGTGGCCAAGAGGGATTCCAAGGTGAGCCCCTGCATCTCCTGCCTCCCGCGTGAGTCCTTTCCCCTCAGAGAGCGGGCGGGTGTTTGTCCATCCCTCTCCGGCCTCGGTCCTCACACACCTGGAGTCAGGCCTCTGTGTGGAGGGACAGGCAGGCCTGGCTCCTGGCTGCAGGGGGACACAGGGAGGGCAGGCCTGGCTCCTGGCCGCAGGGGGACATAGGGAGGGCAGGCCTGGCTCCTGGCTGCAGGGGGACATGGGGGAGGGCAGGCCTGGCTCCTGGCCGCAGGGGGGCCTGTCACAGGCAGAGCAGAATGACGGGGCCTCTGAGGGCAGCTTCTGTGGGCTGAGTGTCACAGTGCTTCCTGCCGTGGGGGTGACTTAGCTCGTGAGCAAATGAAATCATCTCCGTGGGCTTGGCATGGACCCCGTGGGAGGAAACCCCTGGAAGGTGAAGCAGTGACGTTCTCAGGGAGACGCCTGTGGCTTTTTAACGTTTCTTGTGCCTCCCAAGTGCGTCTGGTAGCGAGAAGGAGCCGGTTCTTCCAGAGAGAATGGAAGCGCGGCTGGGGGTGTCGGGCTGTTAGCTAGACGTTCCCGGGAGGCCCTGGAGTGTCACCTGGGCTTGGGCGGTGCCGGAGGAGAAGGCACAAGTCTGCGGGTTTGGGGTGCAGAGGCGTCCTCCGGGGGCCTGTGCCGGCCGCAGGTCGGTCCCTCAGAGTGACAGGCCCACGCTCCCTGCTGGCGCTCCGGAGCCCGGCGGCCAGGAGAGGATTCTGCGCCCCGTCCTGCGTGGGGAGCAGCCAGGAGCGGATTCTGCTCCCCGTCCTGCGTGGGGAGCAGCCAGGAGCGGGTTCTGCTCCCCGTCCTGCGTGGGGAGCAGCCAGGAGCGGATTCTGCTCCCCGTCCTGCGTGGGGAGCAGCCAAGAGCGGGTTCTGCACCCTGTACCGCATGGGGAGCAGCCAGGAGTGGGTTCTGCACCCCGTCCTGTGTGGGGAGCAGCCAAGAGCGGGTTCTGCACCCTGTACCGCATGGGGAGCAGCCAGGAGCGTGTTCTGCACCCCAACCTGTGTGGGGAGCAGCCCAGGGGTTTTAGATGTGACCGTGGGCGGGAGGGTGCGGGCGCTGCTTCTGGGGGTGAGGATGCACGTGACCTGTCCCCTGTCCCAGGGCGTGCACGACGTCCGGCTGGCCTACATCCAGTTCGCGCTGTCCTTCCTGATCGCCGGCGACGACAGCACCGTGGTGCAGGTGCTGGAGCTGAAAGGTGGGTGTGCCCTGCGCAGCGGCCCCTCTGCCCGGAGCTTCCCCGCGAAGCACTGCTTCCGGGTCAGCAGGAGGCTGTGGCCTCGGCCTGCGGGACACGAGAGGGAAGGGTGCGGTTTCCTGGTGCGGTCAGAGCGAACCCGGGCGCTCCGGCTGCGGGGCTGCGTGCTGGGCGGTGCACGTGGCACAACCTGCAAACTAGCCCTGTGCCAGGTCACTGCCCGCCGCCTGCTCTCCCGAGTCCCAGCGCTTAGTCACTGTGCCCGGGGTCACCCCGATATCGGTGCTAGAGCTCCCGGGAGCCCCGCTGGCCCCGCTGGCTGTCTCCCTCCAGGCGGCGGCGGCGTGTGGCTGTTAGGGCCCTGCCTCATAGGACCCTCAGCAGGATAGCGAGTGCGGCACTGGACCCACGGTCCTGCCACGCTCAGTGGGCCCCCGGGGTGCAGCCCTGTCTGCGGGGAGGCCATGCCTTTCAGGACGGAGCTGGGGTCCCATGGGCACTGCTGTGGTGCGGGCTGGGGCAGGGCGCGGCGGAACTCTCAGAATGTTGGGTGCAGCCAGGCCATGTCCGCTCGCTTGTCCTAGGGAGTGACGGAGGGTGCGAGGGGGGGTTTGTTGGGAGCCGTCCTCCGTCAGCTGAGAGTTAGCCTCTCACCGCAGGCCTTGGGGAGCACAGAGGACGGCTGGGTGGGGAGCAGCTGCCGCAGTGAGGGGGGCATTACTCACATCAGGCTTTCTAACCGCCTGTGATGGGACACGTTCAGTTATGAAACAGTGTGTGTGACCATTTCACTGAAGTTAAACATCACAGTGCGGCTACCCCAGAGGTGAGCAGGCGGCTGGGAACCCAGAGGTCAGTAGTGTTGACCCCAACCTCTGGCTGCTTGGTTCCGAACCCCGTCCTGTGGTGTGCCTGGTGTGTCCTGGCTTTCCTTTCTCTGAGGAGGACGGATCTGCTCTCAGAATTGTGTGCCCGTGAAGCACGTGAGAGCGAGGGAGGCTGTAAAAGCTTCCCCACCTGTGCTGCCGAGTCCTGGGGTCACAGGCACCCCAGATTCTACCACCACTCAGTGAAATGACCACCGTCACTTTAAAGACATCTCTGAGCAAGTCTAAGCAAAGAGAATTATGGGAAACAGTCACAGCGGATGTCGCCTTTGGAAAGGCCGATGAAGTTAATTCTCTGCAGGGAACGTGAGAGACGGAAGCAGGCAGGGTGCGGAGCCGCGGACGCTCTGGTTCTGTCGGGAGAAGGGACCCTGCGTCCCGGAAGGAAGGGGCTGCTGCCCGATGAACAGGCAGAACTTTACAGAAGGACCTGAGGCCTTGTCTGCTGTCATGTGGGAGGTTGTGCTCTCGGCTCTCGGGTCAGAGTGCAGGCTCACTGCTTCCACCTTCCCTTCAGAGTTCATCCCCTGCATCTTCGCCTCGGGCGTCAAGGAGGATCGGATTTCCACGGTCGAGATGCTGCTGTCCACGCTGCAGACAAAGGTGCGCGTCTGGTACCCGCGCCTGCCCTTTGTGTCCTCGTGTTTCACGGGCCTCAGTGGCCAGCCTCAGCTACCCGGGTGGCCGCGGGGTGGAGGGAGCTGTTTCCTAGGCAGAGCGGTGCTGGGGAGGCAGCCCTGCAGGTCGGTGCGGGGGACGCAGGCCTGAGGGGCGGTGCTGGGGACGCAGGCCTGAAGGTCGGTGGTGGGGAGGCCCTGAGGGTCGGGCTGAGCAGCATGTAGAGAGGCGGAGAGGAGCTGCAGGCACCATCCGGGGAAGCCGGTCGCTGGGAGCCGTGGTGGTGGTTGTGCCGTCTGCATGTCTGTCTGTTACAAGCATCGCAGGGGAATTGTAAAGCCTGCTGCACGGATCCCTGTAATACAGCAGCACTGAACGGTCAGTTAGAAAAACCCTCCCCCAGAGAGGTTGGAGGCCGTGGACTGGGAGTCCGGGTAGAAATGGCGATGGGCATAGTGGGCCTCCCAGCGGTTCTCCCCGCGATGTCCCCCGGGCATCCGGCGGTGTCTGGAGGCGTGCTTGTCAGAACTGGGAGCTGCAGCTCTGTCCAGCGGTCGAGCGGGGGTGCTGCTCTTCACCCCCGGTCAGGCCGGCGTCGGGCCCCAATGCCAGGGTGCTGCTCTGGGGAGCCCTGGTTTAAAGTCGTCCAAGTAGAGATGCAGGGTTTCACCTGCCACACTGGTGTCGGGCTTAAAACTGTTTCGTTCTAGCAAAGATGCTCTGAGTCGGGGGCGGGGATATTAGTGACTTGCGCTTTTTCTTCACATTCTCTTTGTAAAAAATATATTTTTTATTGATTTCAGAGAGGAAGGGAGAGGGGGAGAGAGAGAGAAACATCCATGATGAGAGAGAATCCTAGATCAGCTGCCTGCTGCACGCCCCCCACTGGGGATTGGGCCTGCAGCCCAGGATCACACTGACCTATGACCTGGCACATGGGTCACTCCGGCCAGGCTTGTTCCCCTTTTTTGGCCGAATATTTTGCCATAAGCCTACATCACCTTTACAACGACAGAAGCAGCGCACGCTCTTACGAACGGAATCCCTTGATGTTGCTTTGTTTCACCGTGTTCAGGTGGTTCACAATAAAAGGATCACAAAGACCCAGAAGGTCCGTTTCTTCACCGGGCAGCTGCTGACCCACATCGCGTCTCTCTACAGCTGGAACGGGAGCGTCGACGTGGACCTGGGACCCCCTGAGGTGCGTCGCTGTGCGTGGCCTCGCCAGTGTGTGCGCCTCGCAGCCGGACACTGATGGCGGCGCACTCACCTGCCTATGCCATGTCTTTCCAGCGGACCAGTTTCTGTTGGCTTTTGCTTATGTTAGTTTTCCACTTAGATTCAATATGATTTTTATTTTTATTTTATTTATTTATTTTATTAAAATATGTTTTATTGATTTTCTACAGAGGGGAAGGGAGAGGGATAGAAAGTTAGAAACATCCATGAGAGAGAAACATCGATCAGCCGCCTCCTGCACACATCCCACTGGGGATGTGCCCGCAACCAAGGTACATGCCCTTGACCGGAATCGAACCTGGGACCCTTGAGTCCGCAGGCCGACACTCTATCCACTGAGCCACACCGGTTCTAGCTCAATATGATTTTTAAAGTTATTTTGTTATAGTAAGATTTTTTTCCCCTACTCTATGGTGTCATGATACTACATTTTTTAAAAAAGACTTTTTATTAGCCCGAGCCAATTTGGCCCAGTGGATAGAGCATCGGCCTACATACTAAAGGGTCCCAGGTTCGATTCTGGTCAAGGGCACATGCCCGGGTTGCGGGCTCCATCCCCAGTAGGGGGCGTGCAGGAGGCAGCCGATCAATGATTCTCTCTCATCATTGATGTTTCTCTCTCTCTCTCCTTCTCCCTTCCTCTCTGGAATAAAAAATGTATTAAAAAAAAGATTTATTATTATTTTTTAGAGAGAGTGGAAGGGAGAGAGAAACATCAATGATGAGAGAGAATCATTGATCGGCTGCCTCCTGCACGGCCCCTACCCGGGCATGTGCCCTGCTGGGAATCGAACCGTGACCTCCTGGTGCATGGGACGACGCCCAACCACTGAGCCACGCGGCCAGGGCTGGACTTTCCTTTTGTAATGAGAAACCTGTTCCCTCAGCTGAGCGACACCTGAATGCCCCGCGGTGCTGGCCCCGGAGAATTGTAGGGTCGCGCCGGCTCTGCCTCCTCTCACCTGCCTCTTCGTTTCCTTCCACTTTTTTCAAATTCCGCTTTTGGAGCTCAGGGCTGGCTGCTGTCACTCAGACCCTCGGCAGCAGGGAAGCGGCTGCCCTCGCCTGCGTGCTCTGGCCGCCGTCACTGACGTGTGAACGGGCACCGAGGCAGGTTTCTCTCACTCTGAGACCCTGGGGCCCTTGTGAACCGGGACTTGGCCGAGTGGTGAAGCCTGGACTCCCGGGGACTTAATAGTTACCCAGAGCCCCGTTTCCTGCCTTTCCTCTCCAACTCCCAGGGCCCTGGCTGGGAAGGTGTCCGTGCGTGCCATCGCCGGAGCCTCAGCTCCACAGAGCACGCCCAAGTGTGGCATTCTGTTGAAAAGAGCAAGGGAAGTGAAGTCATTCTTCAGTTTGTTTAAGCCACAGGTTTAAACTTGCCCTTCCAGGAGAGCTTTTTCATGTGGATTGGTGTTTGTTTCCTTATTATTTTTTTAATGGTGCCGAGTGTTTACGTTGAAGTGTTTCCCGAGCTGCCCTGGGCCCCTAAGGTCTCTCCTGGGCTGTCACTGAATTCTTCACCCTCCCAGGCTTCTGCAGAGGACGCGGGGAGGGGCCTGGTGCGGGAGCGTGTCCACCGCTTCCTGACGGACCTCTGCTGCTCGCTCAAGCACGGCATCAACTTCTACGACGCGACCTTGGGAACCTCCGGCAGGTGAGTGTCGCTCCCGGAGCCCGGGGTGTCCTCGGGCCACCACCAGGGGCTGCGCGAGCGCTAGAGGGGCATCGTGCTGGGTAGGACGGGAAGGGAACCCGGCCTGAGCTGATTCCCCATGAGAGAGCCGAGCCTTCCAACCTGTGCCTCCCTCCGGGAACAGGTCTTAGGCACCTGCCACCAGGGAGGGGCCGCCTGCTTCCTCGGGGGCGGGCCTGACTCTCAGGCGTGATTCGTCCTCCCCCGGGCTGCCCGGAACGGGCCTCGCCATCCTCCCGAGGGTGGCATTGCTGCACAGGTTAGCGGAGGGGCTGGCTCAGTCCCGCTGTGAGTGGCAGGGCTCAGGCCTGACCCCAGGAGGTCTGGTTCCACGGCCACCGTCATTGCCGCTCCCCTAAGACGGCTGCTGACCAGCGAGGCTTGCCTCCACCCGGCTTCATCCCCTGGTTCTACTGTTTCACACCGCAGTCCACAGCGGGGGCTCAATCTGTTCCTGGAGGCTTTGTAGCTCGGTCGCCGTCAGGCACGTTCGTGGTGTTGCTGTAGCAGCAAGTGCCGCTGCTAGACACGGTCCTCAGCTGGCTCTCTCTGGGACAGTGAGCGTATCGACACGTGGTCCTGTGGGGGCTGCTGGTTCTCAGCCTGGCGTTCTCTCACAGGGAGGGGGGCTGTGTGGTTTAGTTTTAACCATCAGGGAGGGGTCACACGGTGGGACTGTTCTTCCTGCTGTCACTTGGGCCTCGTTTTGATTCTGAGTGTTCAGATCGAACTTGCCCCAGCGTTTCTTTTTCTCATCAGTCAGGACAGCTCCGTCTCCTCCAGTGTCGGAGCAGGGCTTACAGTCTAATGTAACACAGTCCATGCCTAAGTCACACACTGTCCCCGAGGAGATCCGTAAGCTCCATCAGCGGTCGCCAACCGGTGGTCCGTGAGGTCCGAGAGCTTGGCGACCGCTGAGCTAGATGGTCATTAAAGGAGCACGCTGAGTCAGCGTGTGGGTCCGTCTAAGTAAGCGGTGGTTTACACACGTTTTTTGAAGCCACGGCAAAATGCTTGAGCTTCCGGGAGAGGCAAGGAGTTTGGCGTGTGGGGGCCTTAGTGGGAAGCCTGAAGAGAGCTAGAGTGAGTGTCCCACCCGCCCTCGATGCCTGGGGTCTCCGTGCCGGCGCCCGCCTCAGGGAAGGCCTTCCTGCGGCCCTTCTGCAGTCGCTCCGCATCCCTGTCCTTCCCGGCTCTGCCCCGCGTGTTGGTTGACTGCTTGTCTGTTACCTGGTGGGTGAGGGTGAGAACAGGCTGCTCTGCAGAGCCCGGCGCGTCGTGGTGCCTGTGACGGCGAGGGGCGGGGCGTGGACAGGCCAGCAGCTTGCGCTCCAGGCCCGAGGGACCGCGCTTTGGGTCTGGCGGCCACACCGCCTGTGGCCCCAACCGCTCAGCGGTGCCCTTGCAGGAGGGAAGCAGCCGGCCGCGAACAGGCGCTTACTTCCTGTGGCTTTCACTCCTTTCTGTCCCGTGGCTGTGGGCGTGGTCATTTAGTCTGGATTTCATTCCTTCATGTGGCAGCGCAGCACAAACTATGTTTTCCTTATGAAATTTCCACGTTAAAGATTTTAAGCTTTTAAAAGGATGGCTTTCTGATCAAAATTATGTGTATTTAATTTTTGAAAAGTGTTGACTGCATGTAAAGCTGCCCTGTGGCATCTCAGACGTGGTGGGCACCAGACAGGGAGGGCCCGGAGGGCTGCAGGGAGGCGGGTGGCGGGCGAGGCTGGGACTCCTCCCGCTGACCCTCCCCCTCTGCAGAGGAGGGAACCTGACGCTCCTGCACTTCCTGTTGGGCTTGAGAACGGCCCCAGACGACGAGCTGGTGGCTGAGCTGGTGGTGAGCATCCTGAGAGTGTGCCCGGACCTGCTGCACAAGTACTTCAAGGAGGTCACGTTCTCCTTCCTGCCCCGAGCAAAGGCCACGTGGGCCAACAACGTCAGGCTGCTGCACAAGGTGAGCTGGGCATCTGCGGGTGGGGCCGCGGCCGATCGGGCGGCCAGAGAGGGTGACGGTGACCCACCGAGTGTGGGATGTTGTAGGTCACGCAGCTGCGGCCCTTCTCCACCGGCTCCTGTTCACTGAGCTCAACCGTGGCTCAGCCTTGAGTCCGTGGAGCCAGTTTTATCCTATTCACCCCGATTTTCAGGCAGCGAGAGCTTTTGAGCTGCAGCAGAGTTGGGCTGGGATGAGGGAACTGTCCCTATTGTAGGGTAGTGCTTAAGCTCTGCTGTCTCAGGTACTTAGAACAACTGGGAATCGGCTGTGGATGCTCAGTTGCTTGGAGTGGATATAAACTTCCTTCTGATCAAAGATGTTAATTAACACCCCTCGCCTACCAGTGCAGTCCTACTCCACACCCCTCAGCAGTTCCCCTCCCCCACCCCCCCTCTTTCCCCCTTCTCTCCGTTAAGGCCTGCGTGCTGCTGAAATGCCTGGGCTGGTTTGCTTCTGCCTCGACCTGGGCAGGATTTCCTTTTGTTCTCTTCTCCACGTGTCCCGAGGGCTGTGTGCAGACCCCGTGTCTGCCCTGTGGGGCGCTGCTCTGGTGGCTCCTGGGAAGGGGCGGGGCAGGTGCAGGCTTTGCAGGCCTGGGTGAGAGTCCTCATCTCTAGCCAGTGTCCCGAAGGAAATTACTTAACCTCACTGGAGTCTCATTTTTTTTTTTTATCTGTAAACCTTTTTTTAAAAATAGTCATTATTTTTTTATTGATTTCAGAGAGGAAGGGAGAGGGAGAGATAGAGGCATCAATGATGAGAGAGAATCATCGGTCGGCTGCCTCCTGCCCGCCCCGCACCGGGGATGGAGCCGACAACCCGGGCCTGTGCCCTGACCGGGAATCGAGCCGTGACCTTCTGGTTCATAGGTCAATGCCCAACCACTGAGCCACACCAGTTGGCCTCTGAAAACATTTTTATTTTCATATAAGAGATCCCTGCCTGTGGGGTTGTCAGGACGCACGGGAAGGTCACATCACCTGCCGGGTGCCCCTAGCACTGCCCCTGCTGAGTGACCGCTAGTGCTGGCCTGGCTCGTTCCCTGCTAACAGCCGGCCTGGTGCCTGCTTCTCTCCCACGTGGATGGGGGGCCACTCCTCCGAGCCTGGGGCTGGACCACGCTCACTGTCACTGGCCCAGCAGCCCTGTCGGGTGCCGGCGACCAGCCTCAGGCGTGAAACTTACCTCCGCACCCCTCGTTCTCCTCGTCACAGATCTACGAGGCCCAGCCGGACGTTTCCCGGGCGTTTCAGACCCGAGAGTTCATCCCCTTGTCCCGGCTGCTGGCCATGGTGATGGTGACCACCGTGCCCCCGGTGTGCAACAAGATCATGTTCACCCAGGCACTAAACGTGAGTGCTCGCCTCGTTTCTAGAATGTTCTCCTGCTCATCCACTGGCTCTGCGGGATGTGCTGGACTCTGACTCGTCAGGGAGCCTCGGAGGCTCTCTATGTGTCCACCCACCTGGGGAGGGGGCATTC